CAGCAGGATGGATGGATGGACCCACAGCCCCAGAGGTGAAGGCTGGTGCTTTATCCTTCTCACGGCTGCTCCTCCCTCTGCCAGATTATAAATGGGTGTGAATTGTCTCCCCTGATAGGCATAACCTCCATCCCCGCTCCCACACCCCGGGGAGCTGCCCCTCCAGGCCTGGCTTTGCTTCCTGGCCCTCAGATGTTTGATGCTTTCCCAGATGCTTCCGACGTTTCTATCCGCTCCCATCGCAGCTGCCTGGGAGGGGGAAGGCAGGGAGGGATGGGGAGAGCTGGGGGTGCTCAGCGAGCCCCTGCCAGCCCCCGGGGCTCTGCCCCAGGCTCCTGTCCCCCAGCACAGGGAGGAAGGGCTGGATGTGACATTTCCTCCAGCGTGGGATCCCCTAGGAGCATTTTCTGCTCAGTTTCCCTCGTCCCTCCCCATGCTGAGCAGGTGCTGCTCAGCTGCTGGGAGAGGGGTGGGTGTGCTGAGATCCCCCCCAGACCCCCTTTGCCCTCCTCCCAACCTGGTGCTTGGCTCTCAAGGGCTGGGATGGTCCCTCCCTGTCCCACTGATGCTGGGTGTGGGAACAGGGACAGCCCTGCAGGGAGCCCAGGCATCCTCCACCCCAGAGCTCTCAAGCCCCCAAGAGCCACCAAGGAGTGGGAGCTGCTGGTTTGGAGGGACTTTGAGGGGACTAACAGGGCCCTGAGCTCTTGGGGTGGGGGGACCTGGCCACAGCCGTTGGGCTGGGCTGCTCCTGGGTGGATCCAACTGGTTTGGTGCTGGAAAAATAAAGTCAGTGGGATCCGCCAGCATTCAGGCAGGAAAGCCTCACCCCAAAATTCCCTCCCCAACTCAGGAGGGTGCCCCAGGTCAGGGGGTGTTGGCTGGGCTGGCAGGCAGGGTGCTGATGCTGGGAGCTGGACGAGGGGCCAAGCAGCAACCAGCAGATATTCTGAAATCACATTTAAAAATGCAAGAGGTTCCCAAAAGAGGATTTGGAGCTGGTTTTGTCTGCCTTTTGGTCTCAGCACTGATATTCTAGGGGGCTGCCCCTGAGAGGAGATGGGCTTTGTGCATCTGGGCAGTGCCCTGATGGGGAAATGTCCCTCTGCTCTGCTGCTGTGGCCAGGCAGAGCAGGGCAGTGGGTACTGGTGGGTTAGACCAGGGATGTGGTGCAAGTGTGTGGGTCCCTGTGAAGCTGCTGCTTCTTTTACTGGGCTGTGCTTGTGCAAACTGTGAAGGAAATGGTGCTAAAACATCATCCAGGGCTTGGGGCAAAGGGTTTCCAGTGGACAAGTGGTTTTCCCTCCTGTGTGCCTCCAGCCCAGCCGTGGGCTGCAGCAGCAGTAACTCAGCACAGCAAAGCATTTCTCCAAAAGGTGGGATCCCAGGCTGGATGGGTCTCCTGAGGCTGACGTGACCGTGGCAAACGCCAGGAAATTTAAAGTCAGAAAATTATCCCCGTGATATTAGTGGTGGTATTTTAAAGAGGGGAAAAAAAATCTGCTTGTTTCTGCTCCTCTGGAATTCAGCTCCCATGATGAGGCCTGGAGCTGGTAGTGGTGCTGAGGTGCTGCTTGAGCATCAGTCCTGCCCCTGCCTGAGGACTTGGAGGGTGGCCAGGAGAGTTTGGGGCTCTTCCATGTGGGTTTGTATCACTTCAGTCCAGCTGCCACGCTGAGGGGAGGAGCTGAGCCCCCTCCTCAGGGATGCTGGTGGTGTGCCCAGCTGAGGTGACATCCCCTGGGTGGCACACAGCCATCCCCATCCCACCAGTCCATGCAGGAACCTCAGCCCGGCCAGGCAGGAACGTTGCTCTGCTCAAAACCTCAGCGAGATGCAGACGCTGCTCTTGGGGATGGGAACGGGTTTGTGGCTTTGTCAGCCACAAAAATCGCCTTGATTTTATTGCTTTTGGGTTAAAAGCAGATTTTCTTTGTTTCGCTTCCAGAAGCCCAGGACTGCCAGCTTTTGGGATTTCTGTTTTTCCAGGAAAAGCCCACAGCTGCTGGCAGGGGCCAAAGTGTTGGGGAAGGGAACATTTCCAGCCTGTCTCCCCCACCTCAAAGCCATTTTTTCATCTAGAAAGCACAAAGAAGCTGGTTGAGTGAGGTGCCCAGCCAGCCTGGTGTTGGGGGGACCAAGAGGGGAGCTGTGCTGGTGGGGGGACCTGGCTCATGGGAAATGTGTTTGCAGCAGATGAAGGCTGGGCTAGTTGGGAGCCATCTGGTCCTGCACAACCCTGGGGTCAGGAGGGCCTGTTTGTGGGTGGGGTGGGGGTGATGTGTTTTGGGGGCTGCCACGGGCCATCATCAGCCACTGAGCTGGGAGGGAACCAGCCCAGTGACAATGGGGATGCTCCACGGGGGGGGGATATGTGCCAGAGGAGGGTGGCCACTGGAAAATCCCATGCTGGAAGTGGTTGCCCCATTCCATGAGGTGGGGGCAAGTGTGGTGTCAGGTGGGCTACTCTGTCTCCCCAGGGGCAGTGGTCAGGTCTGCCAGTCGTGGTTCAAGACTTTTCCTGCCCCACCAGTGCAGGCTGAGGGGAGATCCTCAGGTCAGGGATGCCCTCAGCAGTGCTTTTCCAGCAGGAAAGTTTGGGATCACGGGGAAGGGGGGCAGTGAAGCATTTTGCCCTAAATCAGAGCACGAGGCAGAGCCCTGCATGGTGCAGAGGGAGCAGCACAGGGCTGGGGAGCTCCCGTGTCCTCTCCATGCTGAGGCTGGTGGTCCTGCCCTGCCCAGAGAACAAAAGCCCTCGGCTGCCTCTCAGCTCTGGGGAGTCCCAGCGCCTCCAGGGGCTCTGGGCTCGTTCCATTCTTCTGTTTAACTTCCACTTAGATATTTATTTTGCTAGGCTGGAAAGAGGAGGTGAAACATCCTTCCCCGGGGAGCGTGGTGCTGGCTCTCCCCAGGTGTTGGTCAGGGGCCAGGGAGCAGGTTCCAGCTCAGCTGTTCCTCCTCTCTGCTGCTGCAGAAAGGTCTGGAGGCTGCCCAGGGGGTTGGGGGAACTGAGGCAACCTGGGTTGGTGGGACGTGTCCCTGCCCATGCAGGCGGGTTGGATCTAAATGATCTTTAAGGTCCCTTCCAACCCAAACCATTCCATGATTCTATGATCCTCTTCCCCTGCAAACACGGTGTGGGTGATGGGGGCTGCACCTCTTCTCGTCCTTTCCTTGCACTTCTCACTCCTCTTTCCATTTCTGCCTCAGAAAGCCCTAGTTTTGCTGGGGGAGGCTGGAGAGAGACTTTTTGTGAGGGCATGGAGTGATAGGGAATGGTTTTAAGTTGAAAGAGGAGAGATTTAGATGAGATATTGGGAAGAAATTCTGTGAGGGTGGTGAGACCCTGGCCCAGGTTGCCCAGGGAAGCTGTGGCTGCCCCATCCCTGGCAGTGTTGAAGGGCAGGTTGGATGGGGCTTGGAGTAACCTGGGCTGGGGGGAGGTGTCCCTGCCCATGTCAGGAATTTGGCTGGATGATCTTTAAGGTCCCTTCCCACCCAAACCAGTCTGGGATCCTGTCAGCAAGCTCAGAGCTGTGTCCTTGGCAGCCCCCAGAGCCTTGGCACGGGGATGAAGCCCGTCCCGGGACAGGCTCCTGCTTGGGGGCTGCAGGTTGAGTCAGGCCCAGCTGCACAACCCCTTGCAGGCGCTGCCCTCCCTGCTCTGCCTCTTCTTCCATCCTCGGGGAAACACTTCGTGCTCCAACAAC